GTGATTGGTTCGGGATACTTCTAGGGCGAGAGATAGAATATTCCGTTAATTGGCCTCAATAGCAGTAATAATACTTGTCGATAAGTGAGTTGGTATAGAAAGAGTTGTTCAATTTGGGTTTGATCTCGTGGGTTATCGTAATATTAGTGTGATGTAGAATTGTGTTGTAATTTTGGAGTTAGTGTCATGGTTTGGGTTTTAAAGAATGAGAATCGTGTTGGGAATACCTTCGTATTGTTGGAATGCGTATCTAGTTTTGCTGAATTCTATGTGGACTCGAAGTACATTGTGTGAGCGTTTGGGTAAATTCTATGCTGGAGTGAAATTGTGTGGGTAAATATAGACAAGTTTACGTAAACTGTTAGTCGGTTCATCGAGTGAAAGAAATAGAGTGGATAGCTAAAAATAATACAGAAATTGCTTAGTTGGGCAATTAAAGTTGTGGCTGAGAATTTTCGAGTTGTGTGTTTGGCATGATTGCATTATTTTTCATAAGAGTTGGTGGTTAGTGCTTTTAAAGAGTTATTATGTCGTTTTGTTAAGGTCTCGGAATAGTGATAGTTATTTTGGCCTTGGGATACATTGTGCATTAGGAGATGGAGATAGTTCGTTGAAGTTGGGTTATCACCAATACGATATGGTGTCTTGGTATTTTGCGAAGTCGTTTTGCCAAAATTTTGTTATGTTTAAGGGATTAGATCCTATTTTGTTGCTGTGGGTTATCGATGTGGATAGAAGAATCACTTAATGGTTTATACTAGTAAGGGTTTTATAATCAATTGTTGTGTAAATGTCATAATTTGGTTTGTTACCGGTGTGACTTGTTGAGGCTCATGTAGTAGTCAAAGAAATTTTGTTGATGCATTAGTAAGTATCTGAGAGAGTTTGTGGGTGACTGTAGAATGTATTACGTTACTTGAGTTTAATTTCGAGGATGAAATTTCTTTAAGGAGGATAGGTTGTAATAACCCAATTTTTTTTTTTAAATAGCCAGCCCATAATTTAATTGTGCAAAATTTTGAATTTGATTGCCGTGTAAATTCTGTGTAAAAACAGTTCAGTTTTGTATTTTTTAAAAATAGTTCCCGATCTCAAAAAATTATGAAATTTTTATATATTGTTCCCATATGAGTCTAGCATATTGGATAAAAATTTCAGAATTTAATAATGATTATTTATTTTATGAAAATTCACAGACTAATTGGTGTTCAGTTTAATTTGTAGCAGAATTTAAAATTGAGTTTTGGGTGTTCGGACCATGATTTGAGATAAATCAGTTAGGGATTTATTTTAAATTATTAAACTCTATTCATTTTGGACCCAATTTATTGAATTGTGACCCGTTAGTAACCATGTAATAGTGTTGTGGTTTTATTATTATTATTTGACTACCATAAAAAAGTTGTGAATATTTATGGTGTGTACTATTAAACGAAATATATTTTGTGGTGAGAAAATATTATATTTACTTTTGTCATTAAAGATGTTGAAATATATTTTTGATTGATATATATATATATATATATATATAGGTGTATATATATAGTTAGATATTTATGGTTAGATATTTGGCTAGATATTTGTTTATAATATATATATATATATATAAGTGTGACCAAATATGATGTTTTGTTCAACTTTGGATTCTTGCCGTGAGGAGAAAGAGAGAAAAAAAGGGTTTCGATGTTGGTTTTTCATGGGTTTGATCTAATATAAATCATTTTTGACCCCTAGTGCTTTGGATCAAAACGTAGAGAACGGAAAAGACGTCGTTTGGCTCCGAACAGATTTAATTTATGCTGCCAAAAAATTTGAAAGCTTCTTGGCTTGAGGTAAGGATTTTTCTTACACTTCTTTACGTACTTTTACTTGATTATATGGAGCTTAGAGTTGTATATAATTTAATTAGAATTTTTGAAAAAATTGTGATTTATTTGCTTAAAAGGGAAATTTTGAGAAAAATAAAGAGTTGATGCCCAAATTGTGAAAGTGTAAACTTGGAATATGTTTGTAAGGTTATGAAAGAGCTATGTTTTAAATTTGAACAAAAACGGACTTCGATTCGATCGGTTTTGAAATTTTTACCGTTTTGCGACCAAAAGAGCATTTTTAAAGAAAACAAAGGAATTACGTTTAACTTTTGAGGCTTTTGATCAAAATAGGATGTCATAGTTGAATAATTCTTGGAGAATGAGTTTGGAAAGAAAATGATGTTTTCTTGGGCATTAACAGTATTATTTTGCTTAATGTATTTGTTGGAATAAAACCGACACAGTTAGAATTGGACCTTGATAGGTTACCGGACATGATTGTGATATAAAAACTAGTGTAGTTGTTCATATTTGATGAGATGTGGAATAGATTGTATTTATCGAATTTTTTTTGAATTTAATTGATTAAATATCTGTTTAGAAATATCTGTTTTGGGCTATCGGTGGAAAATAGCCATGATTGTTGCAGAAAGGCATGAGACTTAGGTAAATTGAACCACATTCCTCATTTATTGCATTGGACATTGCATTACATTCATTTCATTGGAAATATATATGTTTTTTTTTAGAAATGTTTGGAAATGTATCTGTTTGCGAAAAGTTGAATACTTGGTGAATCTGGGTAGGGGGTAGAACCGCGCGGTTAGGTGTCGAGCCATCCAGTTTATTTGTAAAAATGACAGTGGCAGTGCATTAGGGTCCACTTGTAGATACTCACCTAAAGATTCACAGAACCTGTATTCATGTAACAGATATGGTTTAAAATGGAAATGATTTTATATCTGTATGTGCCCTAAAATGACTATCATATCTATTTTGCATAAATAGTTGAAATTGATGTTGTAAACTTGGAATTGGACAAGTATTGAAATGGATGGTGAAATTGAATGGATGATATGTCTCATCTTTGGAAATTTTGAATAAATTATCTGTCTTGAGAATATATATCTGTTTAGAAATATCTGTATTGGGCTATCGGTGGATGATAGCTTTGATTGTTGTAGAAATTGCATGTGAATTAGGTAACTTGAAACTATCCCATGGTTGACTATCATTGAATATGATCATGTTGTAAATGCATTGTATATGTATGTTTATTTGGGAGGAGAAAGAGAATGTACTCTACGTGTGATTATGTGTTTAAATACATTGCATATGTATGATTGTTTGGGAGGAGAAAGAGCATGGACTCCATTATAACTAAGTTGGCCAGAGTGTCGTAGGTGAAAGTCCCGAAATCTATACATGGGTGCCGATCCCGCAGACGAATTATCCGTAAAATGGCAGATTGAAATCTATACATAGGTACCGATCCTGCGGACGAAATAGCCGTAAAATGACAAATTGAAATCTATACATGGGTGTCGATTCTGCGGACGAAATATTCGTAAAATAGCATTTGGAAATGTTATGTGTTGATTGTGAAATTGTTGAACCATTAAGTTGTAGTCTCATTTGAATTATTGAAAGATAATGAAATTGGCTTAAACATTGAAACGATTTGGAGGAAAATGAAAAGGAATATGGACTTGATGTTTTCATGAATATGTAAAAGTATGAATGTTTTTTCCTGGGCATTGTTTATGCATAACACACTTATATCTTTATTAAATTTCATATATTGTGTTAGATTATTCCTATTGGACTGTGACTCACCCTATTTGGGAAAAACATTTTCAGGTAATGATGGCATGACTCCACCAAGGTAATAGCATTGGAAGGATCTTTTGGAAGCAAGAGCTTCTTGTTTTGCTTTATTTTTGTATAGCCTAGGGATAAATTTGTATGAGCTAGTCTTCTTTTGTTGTAATCAAGCCAAAACTTGGAAAGGTGTAAGCCTGAAGGGCATTTATTTGTGATAGACTCTTTTGTATCATGAACTGTATGTAATGAAAGGGCTATTTACACTCTGATTTATGTTGTTGTATGTATGCTTCTGGGATATATTTATTGTATTAATTTGAGGGCATTACACATTTACACACATGTCTTATTTTGCAAACGTATATTTCATTAAGTGCTAGATAAGATTTGTTACTCCTTCAAGTCCCATTAATTTTTAATGAACGAAATTACCCTTCAAACAATGCTTGTTCGTAATTGTTTATAAAAGAATATGGTGATGTAACATTTATTTTGATTTTCAAAACTGCAAAACATCATAATTTTTACAATATACATTTATTTTTGATAAAATTTGTATTTCTAGAATCAACATAACGAATCTATCAAATAAGACTAATATTTACAATTTTCTTAATTTCTAACTATAATTAAAATTTTAAACAAATAAAGTATCTCTTTCACACATAAATATACATAAACAAATTGAGAAATATCTCAATTATAGAACTAAGAAAAATGAAAATTTTCTTAATTGATGAAACAATTATATGTAATATTTCGTGTAAAATTGAGAAATTTCCCAATTTTTTTTCAATTTTAAAATTAAGAATATTCTCAATTTAAAACTGAATAATATTTTCAGTTAATACTAAAAAAAAATTAAGAAACTTTTTAATTTTACTGGATAGTTTAACAAACTAAGAAATTGTGAGTTTCATATAGCTTAAAAAAATAATATTTTATTTTTATAAAATTTTATATTTAATATTAGTCTTATTTGATAGATCTCATTGTAGACTCTCAAAAATATAATTTTTATTAAAAATAAATGTGTATAATAAAAGTTACGAAGTTTTAAAATTGAGCATTGCAATTCAAGTCCAAACTCGCTTTTTAGACACAGTGATGTGTCAAGAAGATGATTAGTTGATAGTAGTTCTAAAAAATAGACTTATATATCATTTTCTTTTTAATTTGAAATAACAAAACAAAAGTAATGTCACATTAGTAATCTCCACTTGAATAAGAGAAATAATCTTATGTTTTTGAAGCATGATTAGGTGGTTATTAAAAATTTTATAGTTGGCGGAGAATGTGAGGCCACAATTCCGTATCGAGGCATGAAGCATATATAATGCTTAGTGATTAGTGATTGGTGGATAACATTGGTTCAATAGATTTCTAGATGCAAGCCTTCGTCGATCATTCTCACTTTCTAAGGAATAGTTTTCTTTCTTTCTTATTCATTGGGGTTATCATGGAGGTATCTGAATCTTATAGTCGAATCAAATAGGGTGTCTACAGGATGGTTGCACAACAGAAGTTCAGAGACGGAAATCTGGTTCTTTGAAGAAGAAGGTAAGCACTTCTTCATTCACTTGTTATCTTGTTGAGAACATTCTCTGTTCCGTCACAAGATATAGAATAGGATAAAGAGACCATAGAGAACTTAAATGCAACAGCTGAAGGGCAGATGAAGTTTCATTTACGTGAGGCGGTTGTGGAGAAGCGAGTTCAATTGGTGAAAGACGTGAAACCAGCTCTGCTCTAACTCAACCACAAACGTATGGAAGAGAAGCAGACAAAGAAAAGATTGTTGAAATGTTGGTTGACAGTGAAAACAGCTCTGCTCTAACTCAACCACAACGCTTGCCCAAATGATATTCAATGATAATAGGATAAAAAGCCACTTTGAGCCTAAATTTAGGGTTTGTGTTTCTCAGGATTTCAATGCAAAATGGGTGATAAAAGAAATAGTATCTATATCTAAGAAAACCTGTGAAGCCTCAAACCTAGATTCTTTGCGGAAAAAGTTTTGAGAGATGCTGAATGGGAAAAGATACTTGCTTGTAAGTAATATTAGATGATGTGTGGGACAAAGATCAAGAGAAGTGGGATAGGCTGAAGTATTTACTAGCATGTGGAAAGGTGCTTCCGTTCTCATTACTACTACTCATGTTGAAAAGGTAGCATTAATCTTGGGAACTATTTCACCACATCACTTGTCATTTTTATCTGAAGAAGATTGCTGACTTTTATTCAGGCAACGAACATTTGGACGTGAAAATAAAGAACGACCAAACCTTGTGGCCATTGGGAAGGAGATAATGAAGAAGTGTGGGGGTGTACCTTTAGCTGCAAAGGCCCTCAGAGGGCTAATGCTCTTCAAAAGTGAGGAAAATGAGTGGTGTTTTGTTAAGGAAGTGAAATTTGGAACTTGCCCCACAATGAAAATTCTATATTGCCTGCCATAAGATTGAGCTATTATAATCTTCCATTGAAATTGAGACGATGCTTTGTTTATTGTGCCTATATATATATATATATTGGTTCTAGAATTGGAAAGGAAATTTTAATTCATCTTTCGATGGCTAATGACTTTATTTCATCCAATGGACAATTGGAGTTAGAAGATATTGAAATGGGATATGGAATGTTAGTGGGTGCCCTAACCGAGTGACTCTTCACAAATTTTGGTTCGCTGAGAGTGTTCGATTTGTGGGGCATCAACATGAAATGGCCTTAGAGAAATTGAATGTTAGTTGGTGCCCTAACCAAGTGACTCTTCTACAGAGCATTAAACATCTTAATTCCCTTTGGCACCTAACTATTTCTGGTCAACCCACATGCAGGAGATTGGATAATCTTGTTATTTGTGCAAAGTGGAAGACTTTGCCCGAAGCATTGCATCATGTTCCAGGATTACGATCTCTCAATCTCTGGGTATCACGAGCTCACATCACTGCCTGAATGGTTGGGAAACCTTACGTCTCTTCAATCATTGTGCATTTGGGACTGCCTGAAGATTCCATCACTACTGCATAGCTTTCAAATCCTAACCAAACTCCAAACTTTGAGCATTTGTGGATGCAGTCCTGAATTGGCAAGGCGATGTTAAAAGGGAAATGAGAAGGATTGGTATAAGATAGCACACGTTCCAGATATCGATCTGTAATTACATGGAATCTACTCGTTAATCATGAGTGAGTGAAGTGCAGAAAGGAATGAGCATATTACATGTGGACATTCTATATAGACCAAGATAAATCCAATTTCACTTATTCAAATGTTTCTTGAAATGATTCTTACATATCTGCTTGTCAGTAAAATTAGTAGTAAAGTGATGTTTAAACAAAATGTCTTTTTGTACTCCTGAAGGCTGAAGTCCTTGTTCAGTATGAATGTTTGTGGACTTCTTTGTAAAGACCTGTTGCTTTGCTCTAAAATATCACAGTCATGTTTGGTTTGTTTATTTTCTTACACACACAGAAAATAGAGCTTGGTTCACATCAACGGATTGATTAACCTCCGGGGCAATCAACTCATAAACATGTAAAACAAATTTCGTCAAGTTTTAAACATATGACTAACATGTCATTCATATTTCTTAAACTCTTAAACTATTGGACTGATTCATCTCACTTGGATTAAGATTCTGAACCTGAGTTGAGTCGAGATCATTCAACTGGACATGTTTGGCTACCTCTTATAACAGGGATTAATGACAAATGTGATTCATTTTGAAATGTTCCTGTTCCACATGATACATGATTTAGGAGTTCAATTTCCATTATCAGTTATTGTTATTGGAGAAATGATCAATTTTAGCTGAACTTCTTTAACCTGTCTTTGTTGCTGATTATTGGTGTGTCAAAATTTGAAACGTATCAAAAACTTGTTCATGTAATAATTTATTAAGCAGTCGGTATGTACAACGAAGTTAACTTTTCGTGTGTGTTACCTAAGATGGTCGAGTTTGGATTGCAAATGGGATTGGACCTTGATCTTAGCACCGAGATGACCGTGAAACATAAATGTCTAAAGATTACATTTTGTGCTGAAAGTCTGAAATTGTCTCCAATTTCCAGTGACAAGAGTGTAGCAGCTGGAATTATAAGACTTACCTACTACACACTCACCCTCTTCTATATATAGGAATCATGAATCATTGTAATAGATATCAATATATCAATCAATAATAATACATACAATTTATTCTCTCTTTCTCTATACATTATTTCTTACAGTAAATCATTTACGTAGTTATTCATTTCTGTTCATCCTTGTAAGTTATCCATTATTTCTCCCATTCTGCGTTTGTACTAAAATATATTTTTACATTTATTTATTTATTTTTAAAATGATGGTTAGTGGTACCATTCTTTTGGATCACAATTGCAGTACAATAGCTGCTGGTTCTAAAGTGGCTGTGAGAATGGATATGTTGCTGGTGGAAGGTTTTGGGCGGAGGTGGGCTTGTGCGCGAGGGGCTTTTAGACAGTTGTTGTATTCCCAGACTACTCTGTGTCAGTCAGTGCACAGTCTCAGCCGCTTTGGGGGGTAGAGATTTCTGGTCAGTCTCGCTAGAGCTGTGCAAAGAATATATGTTGCTAATGAAATGCCAATTGCAGCGGCAATGAGATGCCAGATTGAAGCACAGAAAAGATTGTAGGAGTGACTTGAGGTATCTCTATCATTTGACAGTTTGACAATCATTTTCCCTCTTAACTGTAGGCCTTTTATTTGTAACACAAACCTTTTGCTAATTCATGCCATGGATTTTGGCCATTGTCTGATTTTTATTTTATTTTTTTCCTCTTTCGTTTTCCCAATATGTCATAGGTACAAAAGAAGGTGCAGATGAGAATAGAGTCACAAGGGATGTACTTGCAATCAATATTAGAGACAAGCTCAAAAGAGCCTAACACTTGACATCAACTGCCTATCAGTCTTGAGTCAACTCACCAACATCGATTTGTCTGAGTCAAAATCTTATGGAGAATAGTAACTATTCAAATTTTAGCTTTCGTGTGTTATCATGAATCAATAGGATTAACCATTAGCAATCTGAATTTATAAGTCTTTATCAACCATGGTTTAAATCAAATCCATGTATCATTCATCATGAATTCAATCAGTCTGCATAACTTTTTCTTCCTTTACTTTCTTCTTCTTCTTCCAGTAATGTTGGAAACCCATAAGGTTAACTCAATTTGCATCATTCCACATCAATGAAAAAAGGACAAAGGGAGGATGCAAAAGCCTCCACAGAAAATGGCAAACAGCCCTCAGAAGACCAAAAGAAACCATAAAGAAACCTCCATTCATTGTCAGGACAATGGAGAAACATGAAGCAATCAGCCTACAACTTAACTTTCTCATTTCCCCCCTTTCTTTTTAGGCAACAGAATAAATTATGTGGTAAATTTTGTGCGTAGAAACATTTCACCCAAAAAATCAATCAAATGAATTCTGATAAAAATCAATTCCCCCTTGCATCAATACTACGTAGGAAAATGAAAATGAACATGACGAGGAAGCCCATGCAGTTTCCTCCAAACTTCAATCTACTGTGGAATTCTTCTCTAAAAGATAAAAAAATTGAATGAAAGTTTGAAGGTTAAAAGTATTTATCCTAAAATATAACAAAAGCTAATTTGGATATTTCTTCTGTTACCTCGTCCTCTTCTTCTTCTTCTCTATAGACTAAAGAAGAAAAGGCAAATTACATTTTATCCCCTTCAACTATCACTATTTTTCACTTTATCCCATTAAACTAAAAATTGATACAATATACCTCTTTAATCTTTTAAAAGTTTTTAATCTAATCCTTATGTCTCCATCTTGTTAATAAAACAGACAGAAAATATGCATGTAATGTGCACATGACATGATTATGATGAAAATACCCTTCAAAAGATTTGTTATAAATATGACGTGCACATTACATGCACATTTTCTGTCATTTTTTTTATCAGAAATGATTAAATTAAAAACTTTCAAAAGATAAAAAATGTACATTGTATCAATTTTTAATATAAGAGAATAAAGTGAAAAATAATAATAATTGAGCAGAATAAAGTGTAATTTACCAACAAAAAATTGTGTGGTAAACTTGGAGTAAAAACATTTCACCCAAAAACAATCCAATCAAATTTGATAATGTTGTATCCCCATTGCATCAAAAGTCAAATGCAACTAGGAAAAATGAAGCCCAATGTAGTTTCCTCCAAACTTCAGGCCTCCAAACAATCCAACCAAATTTGATAAAGTTGCATCCCCATTGCATCAAAAGCCAAATGAAACTAGGAAAAATGAAGCCTAATGTAGTTTCCTCCAAACTTCCTCAGTTAGAAATAAGTTATTTTAGTAATTTTTTAATTTTTTGATTAAAATATGAGGTGAAAAAATTAATATGTTTGGAATAATTTTTTAGTTTTTTACAAAAATATATATATATATATATATATAAATTAGAGAGAAAGAGAATTTTTAACTTTTTAGTATAAGTTATTGACTTTTTAATTTTTAAACTAAAATATTATACGAGACCCATCATGGAATCTAATAGGAAAGATATCTCATTATCCTATTTTTTCTCCTACTTCGTGATTTTTTTTTGGGCAGAGGCTTGGCATTTCAATTTTAATCAACTACTAATCTCAATTGATATCATTTAAACAAGCACCTCTTAAAATGGGATGATTATTCTGTTATCTGAGAGTACCGTTATATGGTGTTTCATGATAATATGATTAGTAGAGAAGGTAGAGTGTTAATTGTTTGTATTAAATAATTGAGGAACATGTGAGGACACAATGAATAGTATAAGTTGTTATCAGAAAGGATTAGATTAAAAAAATTTTAAAAATGAAGGACGTAGATAATGTCAATTTTTAATTTAAAAAGATAAAATAAAAAATTATAATAGTTGAGCAGGTGTAATTTTCCCAACAAGAAATTGTGTGGTAAACTTGGAGTACAAACATTTCACAAAAAAAATCCAATCAAATCTGATAAAAGTGCATCCCCATTACATCAAAAGTCAAATGCAACCAAGAAAAATGAAGCCTAATGTAGTTTCCTCGAAACTTCAATGATGATGGAAGCTAACTGTAAAGATATCTCGCTATCTTATTTTTTTCTCCCACTTTGTGGGGGCTTTTTTTCAAATTAAGCCAAATTAGTAATTTATTTTTTAAACTAGGCTTAGTTTGGATGGAATTTCTAAACTAGACTAAAACGTGGTTGTAAACCACGCTTTTAATGTTTTTGTGGCTATCGTGCAGAAATTTTGTAAAATCGTAAAAGCGTGTTTCCAAACCACGCTTTTAATTAAGAAAGCGTGGTTTGTAACCACGCTTTTAATTATTTTATTTTATTTTGAAAACATGGTTGTGAACCACGCCTGTAAGCAAAAAAAAAAAAATTCCCTGAAAGCGTGATTGTGAATCACGCTTTTAACTAAAAAAAAAATTATTTTGAAAACGTGGTTGTGAACTACGCTTTTAACTAAAAAAAAATTTCTTCTGAAAGCGTGATAGTGAACCACGCTTTTACTGTTCATCACATAAAGTGTGGACGATAACCACGCTTTTAACCAAAATCCGTTTTTAAAACTTACATAAAAACTCCCCCAGCCCTGTCATTTGCCAAATCCGTTTTCTTTAAAACGGCTTTTCCAATGCCCTTGTTGATGAATAAAAAAATAATAAAATTTTCTTTCGTAAAAACGGTTTATATAAAACCATTTTTTAGTAATATTTTTCCCAATTTATATTTTTCAACATAAATATAAATTGCCACAAAATAATGTAATTCAGAAAACGGGTTTAGTAAAACTGTTTTCTAATACGGCTTTCCTAAAGCCGTTTTCATGTAAAAAAAAAAATTTCCGTTTTCATGTAATTTATTTATTTATTTTTTGCTGTTGTCTTTTTTTTCTGTTGTTTTTGTTCTGGTGTAATTCAAAAAACGGGTTTGTTAAAACCGTTTTCTAATACGCCTTTCCTAAAGCCGTTTTCATGTAAATTTTTTTTTTTTCTGTTGTCTTTGTTTTGGTGATAATGTAATTCAGAAATTTTTTGACTTTACTAAAGTTGTTCTCATGTTAATTTTTTTTTTTTTTTTCTTTTGTCTTTGTTTTGGGTTGGAAAGTGTAATTCAGAATTTTTTTTTGGCTTTACTAAAGCCGTTTTCATGTAAAGCTCGAGTCATTTATTTTTATTTAAATAATATAAATAACATTAAAAAAAATTATCGAGCCGAACCGAGTCAAAATTGAGTTTCATTAATATTAATGAGCTCTCATTATGTGTTAAAAATTAGGTATGCTTCTTTCAGATCTCAAGTTGAACTCTCATTATGTGTTATCAATTTCTTGAGGTCATGTTTATAGGTATTATTTGAGATTTGTCCGATCTACGTGGAAGAGACGTTTGGTGTGGATTCTAAGATTAGTCGAGAAATACGTAAACTGATTCAGATATCCGACTATCATAAAAATATAAAGCTTAATTGAATAAACATAATCCAGACTCATAGGGAATAAGTCAATTGGATAGTTCAAGTGGGTAAAAATTATCGAGAATGAATCATTTTATAAATCAAAATTTTTAATTTTTTCAAACATAATTTTTAAACAAATTTTTTTAATTTATATAAAATATTTTGGTAATAGCATTTTTGAGGACGACTTCAAAGGCCTCTTTTGGCAAAGAGGTTAAAAAGTCATTTTTTGACTTCTAATTTTTTTTTGATCACATTATTTCTCTACTTTTTTTATACGTTTTTCCAAAAAAAGTTTTTTTTTTAAAAAAAATGAAAAATTAGCTTTTAACATATTTCCTAAAACAACCCAAAAAAATTATTTCTACTAGTTATAGTAGCCTAATGATGTAGCTTAAGAGATAAGCGAAAGAATAAGAAGATTTAACCATATAGACAGGATTAACAAACAAAAAATAAAATTTTCAATTCAAAAAATATAGATAGGATTCACAATTAAAAATTCAAAATCCTAATTTCAAAAAATATAGACAGAATTCACAATTCACAATACAAAAAATATAGACAGGATTAGAATTATATTTATTATAAAAGTTATTTAATATTAGAATTATATTTTCTTGTAAAATTTTCACCTTAATCAAATTTATACAATAATATAAATATATATTCTTTTACTTCATTTTTTATCATTTATGTCTTTTTAATCACACAGCCTTTCATCATTCTCTTATAACTACCAAGTCTGAAACCCTAACTCAAATTTCTGATTTCACAATTCAAAACCCTAATTTCTGAAACCCTAATCCTAATTTCTGATTTCACAATTCAAAACCCTAACCCTAATTTCTGATTTCACATTCAATTGAAAACCCTAGAAAATTTTCACAATTCAAAACCACAACATTTTACCAATTCAAAACCACAATTTCAATTCACAACATTTCCACATTCACAAACCCTATTCTACAAACATTTTCATCAATTCACAATATTTTCACATTCATGATCCATATTCTACTTACATTATACCCACATTGTACCCACATTCACATTTTCACAAACACAATAAACGCATAAAATTCAAAAGAGACAGAGAGAGACACAGATGCCATACCAACGAGAGAGAGCAACCCACGGACGGAGAGAGAGCACAGAGAGAGAGTGAGAGCAGAGGAAGCGAGAGCAGAGAGAGAGCGAGAGTGAGAGCAGAGAGTGAGGCTGAAGTCGAAAAAAGCTAAGTGTAAAAAACGTGATTGCAAATGACGGGGCTGGGGGATATTTATATAAGTTTTAAAAGCATGGTTACAAACCACGCTTTCACTTAAAAATGGATTTTGGTTAAAAGCGTGGTTATGATCCACGCTTTCTTTTATAAACAGTAAAAGCATGGTTCACAACCACGTTTTCAGAAGAAAAAAAAAATTTAGTTAAAAGTGTGGTTCACAACCACATTTTTAGAAGAAAATTTTTTTTAGTTAAAACCGTGGTTCACAAACACGTTTTCAGAAGAAAAAAAAATTAGTTAAAAGCGTGGTTAACCACGCTTTCAGAAGAAAAAAAAAATTTTAATTAAAAGCGTGGTTTCAAACCACGCTTTCTTAATTAAAAGCGTGGTTTGAAAACACGCTTTTACGATTTCACAAAATTTCCTCGCGATAGCCACAAAAACGTTGAAAGCATGGTTCACAACCACGTTTTAGCCTAGTTTGGAAATTCCGTCCAAACTAGGCCTAGTTTGGAAATTAAGTTACTAATTTGGCTTAATTTGAGAAAAGCCCCCACTTTGTGAATTCCTTTAGGTAGAGGCTTGGCATTTTCAATTTTAATCAACGACTAATTATAATTAATATCATTTAAATAAGTGTCTCTTAAAATAAAAATATAAATTAAAATTTTAAAAAAATTTAAATCATATAAAACTTATTTAATTTTAATTAAATTTATAAACATTACATAAAAGTATCGATATATATTATTATAAACTTACTATCATTACCATCACCACTACCACTGCCACCACCATCATGCTATTGTTGTCGCCACCGCCACCGCTACCACTGCTATCGCTACAACTACCACCACTACCAACATGCCACCACCACCACTACCACCCATTGTCATTGTTGCCACATCACCATCATTTTACTACCATTACCATCGTTACCACCATCATTAACGCTACCACCACGACCACCACCACCAACACGCCACCGTCACTACCACTACAACCACCACCACCACCACCACCACCATCATACCATCATCATTACCACTACCACCATCACCACCACCACCAGAATATAAAAATTGAAATATACAATTTAAAAATAATAAATTCTAATTTGATCTTATACATATCAAACAACTTATTTTTAATTCAGCACAATTTTTATCAAACAACTTTTTAACTTAAAAAATTCATCATTCAATTTTCAAGTCTTCATTTTTCAACTTTATCAATTCAACATTTAAAACTGAATGTATTAAGTACTAATCAATTAAGTCTGTTTGATAACCACAATTGATATTACTTAAAAATTTAAGTATGTCTTAAATTGTAGTTAAAACTTAAGAAAAATTTTAAATCCCATGAAACTTACTTAATTCTGACTGAATTTATAAATATTAAATATAAATATCGATATATACTATCATAAACTCACTACCATTATCACTACCGCCGCCGCCGCCAACAACACTATGCCACCACCACCATGTCACCACGACCACCACCACTATTACCACCACCGTTATCACCATTGCCATTGTTCCTATAAGTACCATTATCATCGCTGTAGCTACCACCATCAATGCTATCATGCCGTTGCCACCACTACCACTACCACTACCACCAACACCATTATAACTGTCATACCATCACCACCACCATCACAATATAAAAATTAAAATATAATTTAAAAATAATAAATTTCAAATTTGATCTTATACCTATCAAATAACTTGTTTTTAATTAAGCACTTCAATTTTTATTAACTAGCTTTTTCAGTTCAAAAAATTCAACATTCAATTTTTAATACATAATTTTCAATTTTTAACTTTATCAAACACCACCTAAGTGATTTTATCAATTGATCCTTTATATATATATATATATATAGTTATTTAAGGAAGAAAATAGGACAAAGAAAGGAAATTTATATAATCAATGGAAGCAAAAATTTTAAATATTCAAACCATCCTTGCAACATTAAGGTATTAAATTTTTAAAATTATTTTTATGGTACTTAAAGTGGTGATTTATGGATACTACACATAAATCATTCTCATTCGTTAGATCTGAATAAAGAGAAAAAAAAAAATCAATCATTGATTTGCTAATGAGTAAAATCAAATGAAAAAAATGAGATGATTTCCAGAGTCATTCCTATCACTAGAACTAATTCTACTAACCAAACAACATACTTACTATTGGATCCCCCATTACAAGGGTTCCCACTGCATGAACTCTGATTTGCTTACCTATTACAAATCCTCAACTTGGACCATCCACCACCAGCTACTTACCTACCTAAAATCTCACAAAATCACCCAAAAAAAAATAATAATAATAAGCGTTTTTAGGCCCAATTTTGATAATCCGAACCGTTCATATTTTATGATTTATTCAGTATATCATACCTGTAAAAAATCAAGTTGATCGGATATCAGAAAGCATGTGTTCGGAAAACTGTTTATTAAATTCTTTAAAAAATAGTTTTTAGTTCAATTTTTCGAACACATGCTTTCTGATATCCGATCAACTTGATTTTTTACAGGTATGATATACTGAATAAATCATAAAATATGAACGGTTCGGATTATCAAAATTGGGCTTAAAAATAGACCCGAACGCCTGCAAGAACGGACGCAAGTACAAGACTGCAAGGAGAGAACCTTGGCTCCAAAAATGAAGCCTAATGTAGTTTCCTCGAAACTTCAATGATGATGGAAGCTAACTGTAAAGATATCTCGCTATCTTATTTTTTTCTCGTACTTCGTGAATTCTTTTAGGTAGAGGCTTGGCATTTTCAGTTTTAATCAACGTCTAATTATAATTGATATCATTTAAATAAGTGCCTCTTAAAATAAAAATATAAGTTAAAATTTTTTAAAAAATTTAAATTATATAAAACTTATTTAATTTTAATTAAATTTATAAATATTAAATAAAAGTATCAATATATATTATTATAAATTTACTGTCATTATCATCACCACTATTACTATCACTACCACTGCCACCACTATCATATTATTGCTGCTGCCACCGCCACCAATACCACTGCTATCGCTATGACTACCACCACTATCAACATTCCACCGCCACCACTACCACCCATTGTCATTGTTGCCACACCACCATCATTTTACTACCATTACCATCGTTACCACCATCATCAACGCTACCACCACGACCACCACCACCAACATGCCACCGTCACTACCACTACAACCACCACCACCACCCACCACCATCATACCATCATCATTACCTTTTCAACAATGATAGAGACCACTAATTTTGGAGCTCTAAAAGATCACTAATGACATAGCCCTCAATAAAAAAAGAAAAAAAAATACAACACCTAAGCCAAAACATCAAATCATTCATGATGGGGCCCACTGCCACATCATTAGTGGCAGTACTAATTAGTGCTCTCACTCATTTTCCTTACATTTTTTGGGTAAGTAAGTCAATACTATCATCATTACCACTACCACCATCACCACTACAATCATAATATAAAAATTAAAATATACAATTTAAAAATAATAAATTCTAATTTGATCTTATACATATCAAACAACTTATTTTTAATTCGTCACAATTTTTATCAAATAACTTTTTAACTTAAAAAATTCATCATTCAATTTTCAATTTAGTCTTCATTTTTCACCTTTATCAATTCAACATTTAAGACTGAATGTATTAAGTACTAATCAATTAAGTCCGTTTGAAAACCACAATTGATATTACTTAAAAATTTAAGTAGGTCTTAAAATGTAGTTAAAACTTAAGAAAAATTTTAAATCATATGAAAGTTACTTAATTCTGACTGAATTTATAAATATTAAACATAAATTTCGATATATACTATCATAAACTCACTACCATTTCCACTACCGCCGCCGCCAACACTATGCCACCACGACCATCATGTCACCACGACCACCACCACTATTACCACCACCTTTATCACCATTGTCATTGTTCCCATAAGCACCATTATCATCGCTATCGCTACCACCATCAATGCTATCACGCCGTCGCCGCCGCCGTCACTACCACCAACACCATTATAACCGTCATACCATCACCACCACCACTACTACCACCACCACCATCACAATATAAAAATTGAAATATAATTTAAAAATAATAAATTTCAAATTTGATCTTATACATATCAAACAACTTATTTTTAGTTAAGCACTTAAATTTTTATCAACTAGCTTTTTCAGTTTAAAAAATTCAACATTCAATTTTTAATACGTAATTTTCAGTTTTTAACTTTATCAAACACCACCGAAGTGATTATATCAATTGATCCTTTATATATATATAGTTATTTAAGGAAGAAAATAGGACAAAGAAAGGAAATTTATATAATCAATGGAAGCAAAAATTTTAAATATTCAAACCATCCTTGCAACATTAAGGTATTAAATTTTTAAAATAATTTTTATGGTACTTAAGTGGTGATTTATGGATACTACACATAAATCATTCTCATTCGTTAGATCTGAATAAAGAGAAAAAAAAAAATCAATCATTGATTTGCTAATGAGTAAAATCAAATGAAAAAAATGAGATGATTTCCAGAGTCATTCCTATCACTAGAACTAATTCTACTAACCAAACAACATACTTACTATTGGATCCCCCATTACAAGGGTTCCCACTGCATGAACTCTGATTTGCTTACCTATTACAAATCCTCAACTTGGACCATCCACCACCAGCTACTTACCTACCTAAAATCTCACAAAATCACCCAAAAAAAAATAATAATAATAAGCGTAGATTCTCTCTCTCAACTTGGACAATCCCAAGAAGGTATTCAGTGCTCCCAGGGCAATGTCCAACTGTATCAAAAGCCACACATTCACATGACAATGTGCAACAGTCCTAGGAGCCATACATTCACAAGGGAACTGTTATATATATATATATACGAAGATTCAGTTGTGTGAATGTGTGACTCCTGAAAAATGAAAATGTTGAGGCATTCCCTTAGAAGCACACAATAATACTCCCAAACATAACTGTGAGTGGTTTTCAAGTTTCAACCACCCTTTGGCAAAAGAAAAAAGAAAGGAGAAATGCTTTGGGATAGTTAAGAATTGAGCATGCAATGGTTTTAAAAAAAAAAACATTTAAGGGACACCAAGATTCCCTGCAATTTATTTTGATTAATGAGGGGGCTAACCAAAATGATTAGGCATCAAGTTTCTACAGCATAAAAGGACCAACAAACCATTAATAGCTAGCAACTTAGCAAGAAAAATATGCCTGTACATAATTTTTTTTTCATATATGACAAGAAATAATGCCATGCTTTGTATTCTCTAATTTTGTTTTACGTGACAGAACAAAAAGATGTGATAAGATTAGCTTTCTGTCACTTTAATTGCTTGATGTTTGTATGCCACCACAGCTTGTGGTGTGACCACAGTAACCGTTGGGACAGCTAAATCAAAATTGGCTTGCACTCACTACCACATACAGAACATGGTGATGAATTATATGGTAGGAATGGGCACTGGAATTTGTCAACTCACTGATTAATTGCACGAAGCTCCCACTTGCCCTCGCCATCAATCAATCGTAATTCCGTTGAATGGAATGGTATCAAAGCAGGACGCTGTAAGAAGCAAGAGAAAATGCTACGTGAACCGAACAATTATTAACAAATTAAAAAATTGAATTCAAAACAGTTTTTGTAGGATGCTAATGAATTACGTTTTGACATGGTAAAGTGCGTTGTAAAGAGTTTGAAGGAGATTTATCTGTCACATTGTAGTAAAGCGAGCTATGTTGTATAATGTAATTGCAATGACGAGAGACCCACTTGCCCTCGCCATCAATCAATCGTAATTCCGTTGAATGGAATGGTATCAAAGCAGGACGCTGTGAGAAGCAAGAGAAAATGCTACGTGAACCGAACAATTATTAACAAATTAAAAAATTGAATTCAAAACAGTTTTTGTAGGATGTTAATGAATTACGTTTTGACATGGTAAAGTGCATTGTAAAGAGTTTGAAGGAGATTTATCTGTCACATTGTAGTAAAGCGAGCTATGTTGTATAATGTAATTGCAATGACGAGAGACAAAAAAAAAAAAGTCCAACTTCAGCACAAAATATACTATGTTGACATGCTTTCTAGCTTACCAAACACAAACCAAGTATCGACAGAAAAGTTTTAACTTGTGCATGCCAAACTACAATGTGTTAGATTCATCCTCAGCATATTAATAGAACTTACCTGTGAGGAGGTAACAACTGTGATCCCCATATTACTTGCAAGCCTATATAGATGCTCTTCAACATCAACACTTGTGGCACTGTAAAAAAAAAGTTTGAAACGAACGAATGAGATATCATAAGGTCATAGGCAGGCCTTTGCCTCGAGGACAAAAAGAAGAAAGAGGAATGCAAGTTTTTGTTGCATACTTGGTGCACTCATCAAGGATGCCGAATTTTGGCTTGTGAAAGAAGAGGCGTGCCTTGTAAAACAAAAAATACCATGTCAATAAGTTGAGCATTCCAATTCGCTAATATTAGTTAGTGTTCAAACAAGCATGAGATCAAGGTGGTAATGGTGTAGAATAAGTGAGCTCACCATGCCTAATCTTTGCTGCTCTCCAAGCGATAGGATGTCTTCCCAATTCTGACAAGTATCCCAGCTGCCTTCTCTTTCCAGAAGATAAAGCAATTTAACATTTTCTAGAATAGTTTTTAAATGTGCATCAAGACTACTTGTCGCATTGACTGATGTTTGACCTGAGCATATAGAAGATTCTGTTACCCAGGAAATGCGATAAGATAAATAGAAACTATTTTACAAACTGACAAAAAAAAAAAAAAGTCAAGCACACTAACATATATATTGAAAAGTGAAAAATGGATACAAGATTTCTAGTCCATCAAACCACAAATATACAATAATCTAAATATTAGGGAAATTATTCAATATTTCCGAAGTACCACGTGTCTGTACTCCCTAGCCAATCATCATTCAATATGCCCCCTCATGTTCCCCATTCACCCAACACAATACCCTACATACCCACTTTCTGCACCAATCATAATACTATGGAATACCACGTGTCCATACTCTGGAATTACTGAATAATTACCTCTATATATTATGTGTAAGAGAGAGAGTATCGTCACTGAAAAAAATGCCAAAATTGAACTTCACAACAGGAGTACATGTCAACTTAAGAAAACTCCCACCCCGCCCCACCCCAAGAAATAAGTTGGGGGGAAAAGGAAGAGAAAAACATTTTCTTTACACTTGTATTCATCCCTTCCCCCCAGTAGGAGAGTAGGGCATGTAAGTTCTCCTCTGCCAAGGTCCTGTACCAGTGAACTTTTGTTGCCATACAACCAGACTGCACGACCTTGAGTTCATGGTAAATTTGAGTGGGTCACACCATTAAGAACAAAAACATATTGATAAACTACCACATGCCTGTATTTCACTAGGGAGAGAGAAGCATCACACCACTACTACGGCTAATAAATCCATCTATTAAATGAAAGAAACCTGGTTCTTTATGAACTTGGTAACTCAGGTGGGATAGGGACCAAGCAAAGAAAAGCTTTCCAATCAAATTTCATTTAAGTAATTGTTCAATACATTGGTGGCGCCACAGCCAACAAAGGGTATTCAATTGATTACCCTTTTTTCCCCCTTAGTACATATAGGTAATATCTCCATCAATTAGTCCACTCATAATTTGAATACCTAAACAAATTCACAAATTTTGAATGCTCATCTCATGAATCTTGAATATCCAAGTCACTCACTTCAAACATTGCACACCCATCCTACAACTTACAATATCTTTAAAAAAAAAAAAAATTTGTCTATAGAATGAAGTGTATGGTATATATATTTAAAGTTGATGTGATATGAACAATACTCAAAATGCATTTAGCACCATCCTTACAAAAACAAAAACAAAAACAAAATATCTTGATAAATACAGATTGAAAAAAAAAAAAAAAAATTTGATTTCAAGCTCCCATGTATTTCTTATTATTATTTTTTGTTGAAATAATAGTAACGACATGTTAAAATTTCTTCTTTGTTTGTTATTCAAGAAGTTTAAATTAAGAAATTATTGAAAATGGATGATAGATTGACAAGTCTGATTTTTTTCTTTTTCTTTTCTTTGGCATAAATTTTACTCAAGTTTTTGAATGAATACCCTAATTAATATTTCTAGAGCTGCCACTGCCACTAGGTAACTAGACTAATGTAATCATGGTTATCAAAATCCCGATTTGGATCTTACAATCCATTTGGGCACAATCGATCCGGATCTTGTAAAAAATTCTTTATAGGTAGGATCTTTCGATCCTGGTAATGGGATCTTATAGGATCATGAAATCTCGATCCGAATTTGATCATATCCAATCCAATCCAATTCAATTTACAAGCCTTGTTTTGTATTGTATAACATATTTTATTGTAAATTTTATATTTGTTGTCTAAATGCCAATTTATGTGGTCAAAATAAATAATAAAAATTAAGTAGTATTGAATCAAATAGACTAAGAAAAACAAACTAGTGAACAGACATTTAAATATTGCGGTAATTTAAGAAAAATAACTAGTCCGAAAAACTAACTTAGCTTTAGCGAAGTCTGAGAATGGCAAGATGATTGAAACTTTATCTCAATTTTTGGAGACACTATTTTTGTGACTCAAATCTGCTCCACCAGGGATTCTAACCACAAACCTTATTTTTCGGTTAAGCCACTCTTTTGATTTCTTAATCTATTTTCATATCCAGTTTTGTTAAATATTTTTTCTTCACTTTTTATGCATTATTGTAGATTGCAAAGTATTTTGTTCTAGAATTCTTCTTCACCTTCTTTTTTGATGAAATACAAAACTTTTCCCATCGAGTTTTTTATTATATAATATTATATGTACATTTTACATGGAGTATTATACTTTTCACCATAGTTATCAAATTGGGATTCGTATCATGAATCGAAATAGTCTCATACCAAATCGCGAATCAAATCGAATCATGATCAGTTTTTTTAAATTACTTAAAAGCATATATCTACACATTTATATGTTAAATAAATCTTATGAATATGAAATATTTAGACTTAATAAATGCAAATGTTATTTTGAATGTTAATCACGTAGTTTAATAAGTAAAAAGTTAACAAAGATTCCTATGTAAGATCACCATCTTACGTTTTTTTCTTTTGTACATATTTCTTATAGACCATTCTTAATAAAGATAATAACCAAATAGACAAACTATCAATTTCTAAAGTAAAAATAATTACCAAAGTAACAATAATTAACAACGATATATTGATATTTGGACAATAAGCATACATATTTTTCTAAGTAACAATGAGCAAGTAATAAGAAATAATTATTTAGAATCTTTTACTTTAAAGCTTAAAACATTTTAAAATGTATAACTGACCTCACACATGTAATATTCAATTATATTCAATTTAATAAAATAATAATAGATAATTCATATTCTAACTTTAATCTTGAACATCTTTAGAAGATATATTATAATTTTTTAAAGGGAAAAAAAATGAGAAAAATGTTAAAAATATGTTGGGTCTAACTGAATCTAATTAGATCCTATTAAAAACTCCATGATCACTAAAATAACAACAAATCATGTATATATGCTGCTTATTTTGGTATTAAACCTTATTAGAATTTTCACTAAAAAGATGGAGAAAAAAGAGTCGAAAATATGGCGGACAAAATAATTTCAAAAATTGCATGAATCAAATCATGAATTGATTGTAAATCGTGCAATTCACAAGAGATTCACTTCTAAAATAGATTAACTCATAGATTCATATCGATTTTGCAAAAAATACGAATCAAATAGCGAATCATAAGATTCTGATAACAGAGCATTTCACAATATCTTCACTTCTTTTTAGTAGAATATAGGCTCATTTTGTGTATACTTTTTAAGAAATGTTTATTTAAATTAAATTATTACGTAATTTGTCTTTTTCAATAAAATTTAACGATCCTTGATTCAATTCTGCGATCTGATCCTATAAACACCTCCAACGATCCAACGTAGGATCCCGATTTTAACAACCTTGAATGTAATGATTAGATATTTATACCAACTAACCTTCTCTATACGAAGGTAATGTCCTTTGCTTTGCTTCCTCAAGAGAGAGTGGATATATGACTTGATCCCTTAGGGTTCCCAAGCATGTATAAGGTCGCTGCGGTATATAAAAGACACCACAGCCGTATCCAGTATCCTCATCGAGCTGTTGGTGCGGCTTAACAAGTCTTCCTCTTACAATGGGCCAAAGACTTCTAAGGACTCTGAAGATAGAACTTTTTCCACTTCCATTTGGACCTTCAAAATTGCAGACTCGTCAGATTTGTATTTACATTAAAGGATCGACAAAGAATATTACACTAACCAGTAACAAGCAGGCTTTTCCCTGGTAGTATGTCACAAGTCAACTTCCTAGCCAACAGTTTCTGAGATGGGCTAATAATACCCACTTTGGAGAAGGAAATGAGATCATTAGATTGAGATTCTGTCAAATTAGTCGGTGATTCAATGAGAGCAACAGGATTATCTGCACGAGCACCGATTTTGTCAGCAAGAATGCATCACTCTCAAGTAACTTTATCAAGAAAAAATAAGATAGATTCAACTAAACAACTGATAGAAAAAGCAAGGGTTGTTATCAGCAAGGCAACTGATAGTGACAAAAAAACACGCAAATAAAATTTTCATCAAAAATCATTATTGCCTTTCAGGAATTACACACTCGTGGGGTCATAAAAAGTTATTTTCTTTTACTTGAAAAAAAGGCATGCCGAACAATTTTCTGAATAAGATTCTATTGGCCTAACATGCAAGTGAAATGCCCCATTGTATGAAAAATAGAAAGATGAATCTTTTGTCTAAAGAACCCTGGTGTAAAAGGTAATATTACTTGTGGACCAATATAAATTCACCAGAAACTCTAAAAAGATGCCAAAAAGCATAAAAATAGAATTCAAAGAGATCTAACTTCAATTCAAAAAACTTGAAAAATAAGTTACATTATGGAAAACATCCATGCTAAAAAATAGAAGAGACAAGAGACGCACCTTTTTGAGCAACATCTAGAAGCTCTTCCAGCTCAAAAATTCGATTAATACCTCCAGAGAGCTCGAGGTACTTCCTATGCAGTTCAAGAATGTCACCAAAAGCCAAAAAGCTTTGAGATACAACAGATGCTAAGAAACGCAGTGCATGAGCCAGTTCACCTGAAAAAAAAAATGAAGTACAAAACAGGCAAACTTCACTTTGTTAAGAAATACAATATTATTGCTCCAGTTCAACAAAATATTATCTACTTAAAGTAACCTTGAGTGGAAGTCAAGGCCCGATCCCCCTTGTGTTCCATAGCATATAACAAGCTCAAAGCCCAAGTAACATTATGTGGGAGCTGCTTTGTGATGAAGTCATCAAGTGTACCAAATAGCCATTTCTTTTGAAGAAGTAACTTAGAGTGATCAAGAAGGTCCTCAAATCTTGATTCAACCATCTGCTTGTCACAAAGAGCACCACCAGAAGATTTTAGATTCATGAAATTTTATGACAAGTGAATTCTATCTTAAAAAGTGACAATATCCTAAGACTTGTTTTGCATTATCCAAAAGTCAGTTTTCTTTCTTAATTTTAGAACTTACTTGTATCTTCTTTGAATGAGGCAAAGTAATAGAGAAAAGGGTATCTTTCCTTTCCTCCCCAAATGAGTTGAGCTTACGTTCTTGATACATACTAGCATCCTAGATTTAATTATGTTACCCTCAAAGCATCACAGACCCATGTTTAATCATTTAATTTCTTTTCTTTAAAAAAAAATAAAAATTGATGTTGTTTGCACTGCCATGGAGATGGTCTGCTTAATACAAAAACAGAAAACTTAGTTGGAAAGGAGAAATAAAAAAACAAGAGAATCAATTGCAGATATATGTTTTTGAGCTTCATCTTCCAAGTTATGCAATTCGTAATATAGAAATTCAGCTCAATCAATCAAAATTTATATATTTGTCTCATATAATAGTGTACAGAATTATACATATATACATATATATTTATATATATATACATTTGTGTGTATGTATATATATTAAACAGCCTCAACTAAGAAGGTAGATTCCATTTAGGAAACAAGCCAAACATCTCACGCAGCGTGTAGTGCACCCAACCCAACCATAACCTTCACTGGGTATCTAAATTTACTTTGATTGATAGCAACCCAGTAATGCAAAGATTTATCTGAATTCCCTTTCCTCCTTTTGAAGGAACTTTGATTTCTGAAATGAATATTCAAGCTCTGATTTCAAGTCAAATTTGCTACAAACATGCACCGGGGTGCTGTCTAGTTAGTACATAATAAATTTGTCAACATTACTATATGGTAATGGCCACAAATATACACAATTATGTTTAAACAACAGAAATTAGGCATTCAAGAATGCTTGCCAGAAATATCAAACAATATATATAAAAACAGAGGTGGTAACTCATGAACATTATTTCACGATCTAAATTTGAAACATATATAATATTGTAACATTCAAGAATCCTACCGCTTTTTCCCGAGCACCACCCCCAAAGAAAGCAATAGATTCAGCATGGGTACGCAATCTCTCGTGCATGAACCTAATTAATGCATGATATAATGTCAGATTGATGTTCACAGCAACATAGCTCTAAATCAGCAATAAAAAATAAAAAAAAAAAGTAGCAGTAAATAAAACAAAATGACCTAAAGGTTCCTTCAAGTTGTTGCTCTCGACTTGCCAGATCACCAAAATCAGGAGCAACACTCCTTAGAAAACCCAGACCCAGTAACATATAAGCATATAAAATAGCAACTCCCCTCCTTCCAGTCAGCAGCTTCATTCTCCAGGTGAACCTAAGGAATTGAAGCATTAATTAAGATTATTGAAGGGATCAAGAAAATGTATTCATATTTCCCCATATCAACATCTGCTAATGAAGCCATGGCAAGTGCTGGCTCACCACCCAAAAACAGAATAGACTCAATTATAATTGCACACACTCACCATAAAATGTCAACAGTTGGCTTTACCATTCCAGTAACCAGCCCTGACAAGTCACCGGTTAACTTCTCCAGATCTTGAGTTATTCTCTGATCTGCATCGATATTCATGCTTGACATCTGGAATACCTACAAAAATGTAGATTTTCCATTGGTTTGACAACATTTTAGATGTTTGGCAGCCTAAGTTTTAGGAGCAACAAACAGATCACACAGCATTAAAGCAGAAGCCAAAACTTTTCTGGAATTCAGATTACAATTAAAATCTATGCACATGCACAAGATAGTTTGTTGCGAGTACTCTATGCTTTGAAAAAATTCTTCAAAAAGTATAACAAGATAAAAAAAAAACTATAAATCCCGCGGAAGCATATTCTATGACAAATTAAGCAAATTCCAAGCAAAGAAAATGATCCAAATCTAAGTTCAAACTGAGTCAAATTAATTGGACAAGGGATTCCTATTTGATTACCTTGTAATATGCATTATTTCTCAAGTAGTTCTTTAGTAAATGTTGTGTCAATCGAATCCTCCATCCGAGGGCAAGCTTTGCTGTCAAGTGCCTATGAAACAAGAAATAATAAATTAAATATTAAACAATTGGCATTGAGATGAAGTCCTGCATTATGTGACAAAAAACTTAAGATCAGTAATGATCTTCAGCTCCAGTTTGTTCATTAATGTTAGATGAACAGAGTGTTCTTAGAAACAATCTATTACATAAGCCAATTCAACAACTGAACCCATTAAAAATAAAAAGTTTTCCACAACAGATCTGAACATGCCCTTACAATTCATTCACATTCTCAAGACTAAAAAAGACTCATGCTGATGCCATGCAATGATGCAATCACAAGTTTTAGTTAAAAAGTAGCAAATAACGAGTTCCCATTAGCAAAACGTCTTTAGTAATATAGGAATTCTCATGGAGTCTTTAGAAGGTTTTTGTACTTCATTTTTGTGGGTATTAAGTGATGTAATTTGGTTGGAAATTAAGAAAAGGTTCAATGTATAGTTTACCTCAAAGAAGGTGCAACAAAAGAAGATGCAGCACTCTGAAGAATACTAACACCAATCAACCGAGTGAAGGCCGCCTTATCTTGCTCTAAAACATACTTTACAGTCGTCCCTGAAAAAACCAACGCATTTAAATCACAAAAGCTTTTCAATTTCCAAGAACATCATAAAGTTTAATTAATTTAGGAAAATAAAAAAGAAAAGAATACCATTTAAAGAGGCAATGCGATCTGATATCCAAGTTCTCGAAATCACAAGTACAGCAACTGCAAGGAGTTGTGCTCCCTGCTTATCAAGCACTGTGGGTACCTAAGAACGACCAGCAAGCAAAGATCAAAACTTTGTGTAAGAATGCAGTTTTCATTTGGCTCAGATATGTCAACATTTCAGATAAGTAATGGAAACAATGAAATATTTATAAATTCAAATAAAGAGCAGTAAAGTCCTCCCCCCCCTTCCCCCTTTTTTTATCAGAGTAGTGAAGTATATTAATAAGTGAAGATATACTGACTAAAATATTTTGTTGCATTGTTAGCTTTCAATTTCCCCAACAGGCTACTCCCTTTTTATTATTTGGATAAATGAATATAGCCTTTTAATGTCCTCCATCTTAGATGATAAGACAAACAAAAATTTTCAGAACTGTTATATTTCAACCATTTTACAGCATGCTTAGATGGACACAACTTTGTTTTGAGAAATACTTTGAATTTTGATTTTAATCCTTGTTTCTTTACAGTTCAATACAAAATGGAAATACTTCAGATGTTCCTATGGCAACAAAAAGGAACCAGAACACTTTGAGAAGAACGTAAAGATAAATGTCAAGAGATATATATATCTGGAATTGTTTAGTCACACATCAACAAGTTGGAGCTGGGCACTCACCCCTGAAGCTCAAAAAAACAAGATGATGACAAGCCAACCAAAGTGTGCTATAGGAACAACAAAGAAGGCAGAACATTGACTAAAACAACTTAGAAAAGAGATTCTAAGTACAGATTCTGTTTCTTCATTTTTGAGATACACTACTTGCCCTTGGGTATTTTTGAACAAGAAAATGTTTCATATGCTAAAAACTATTTTCAAGGAACTCAATATTTTATATGCAACAAAGAAGGAGGGGGGGAATGTATATAAAGTTAAATAGAGAAATCAGCATCTTTCAGATTTTTCTTGTGCCTACCATAGCAAGATGGCACAGATCGAGTACTAGGCAAACAATGCAGTACTTGGTTCATAATTTCCAGAAAACAACAAATTATTCTTATGTTGCTAAGAAATCAAGCTGGAACAGAATAAAATAAAATTACAGATAGCCGAACCCTGTTTGGTTTTTTCAAGTGCTATGATATGTTTTTAACTCCTCACTAGTTCAGCCTAGCATAAGAAACAAAGGTAACTAAATCAACTTAATTGAAAAACAAAAGCCTCCACTTCATTCAATAACAAACATTATTAGATTTAATTATATCAGAAAGGGAAAAAATGGAACACTCGTATTGATCAGCAATCAGTGGCTTATAATGACCAGTAACTAAAGGATCTTTTACAAATTCTTAGTCAACCTCACACCAGCCAGCATCATTACCAACATCAGTCATATAAATCATCACCATCCACCACTTTGTATGCATCGCTGACCCTACAATTATGCTCGCAGTGCTTTATCAACTAATCTCAGGTTCCCAGGGCAGTCTAATGCCTTCTATCAATGACGTGAGACAACCACAAGATCTTATAAATTTGAAAATCACCAATAAAATGTAGCATTCCTATGGGGACAACAGAGAGACATCCAGAAACAAACAAGCAACAGCTGTGACATGTATTAAGCCAAGAAAGCATAGTGGAATCAATGCTTTTGAGGTCGCAGCTCTTGCATCACAAATCCAGAACTGACACCAACAAGCATCACCGCAAAACATTCGACTTTAAGCAGAAAGCATATGAACACAAGTACCTTGAACATTTATGGAAGGTGAGGGTGAATGCAAGGTCTGAGGCTAATAAATCATTGCATAAAGTCCAGACGAGAACTTTAAAAAATATTACAGTAGAGAGAGAGAGAGAGAGAGATGTGTTCTTGCAGCTAAAGGCACTCACCAGTATTTTAAACATGGCAGCTACTCTCAACGGCAATAACCTTGGAGCAGTTTGGAGTTGTGGAACTAGGGGCAATGGAACATCATGATTCACAGGGGGGGATGCTGCTATTAGCTTCGAAACATATGATTGTGACTTTGAATTTGAGATTGAAGAATCCTAGATATAAGGTAACAACCAAAATTTGAAAATTCAAAGTTAGATCCAATAAAATAAAATAAAAAGAAAAGAAAAAAGCAATTCCGTAATAAAAGAACGTGTGATTTTTTAGCCCTTTCTTATGCACAATACCTTTTTTGCACTTGCAAATGCACGTTGAACTGCCATAGCATCACTTTGGCGTTCTGTTTCAGAAGGTTTCATCATATTGACCCCAGCTTCACCAAGAACTGCAGAGTCCTCCCTGAAGATTCCAGAACAGTGTTAAAAAACAAATATTAGCAGTTCGTGCAGTGAATAAACATGGACAATTTGAATCACCAACCCAAAAATCTAACCTCTTGTAATAAACCTGCCAGCCTCCTTCACCATCCAAGGACAGAACCACATCATGAAATGCCACTAGTGCAGGGCGATGGGATATGGTGATGCAAGATGTTCCCATTGCTCTGACCTTGGCACAGAAGCGCTCCTCCATGTCATTTGTCACGGCACTGGTGCATTCATCAAGAATAGCAAATTTGGGCTTATGGTAAAAGAGTCTGGCCATTCCCAATCTTTGTTGTTCTCCCAAAGATAGTTCATCACCCCAATTTATCTCTTTTTCAGATGGGTAACGATCTAATAAGTACTCAAGATCAACCTAGTAAAATGACAAAATTTCCACTAAAAGTCAATCCAAGTTGAATTTATGATTTCTTTAAGAGTCAAGAGATGACTAGTACCATGGCAAGAGACACTAAGTGAAAATGACACGGCTAAATTTCTTACATTTTTCAACAGTTCAACCATTTCACCGTGTGTCAGTGGCTCAGCCTCTTGATCTGCAGTAAGGGGATAGATTAACTGGTCACGAAGAGTTCCTACTGCTGTATATGGTCGTTGTGGCACATAGAAAATCTCCTTATTAAGATCAGAACCAAATCCAGGTTTCACAATATGGCCAGACACCAGTGGCCAAAGTCCTCCTAAAACTCGGAAAAGTGAGCTTTTGCCGCTACCATTAGGACCTTCAAACGAGATTGCAAAACAAGTTCCAATAAGATTAAAACCATAAGCAGTATCCATGAAAATCATGTTTTGAAACATATGTATTAAAACAAAGTTTAGAACTCTTCATGAAATTTCTTGTTATTCTTAGGGTATGAGAGAGGCGCACACACACACACACACACAAAGGGATGGCTACTGATATTACTCCAGCAAATAATTGTCATTACAAAATTATTACAAGGAAGAAGGGAAGGGGTTATCAGAAAAGAAAAACAAAAGGTTGGCTGCAATAAGCAACACAAAATGGAAAATAATGACGGATTGAATGCACAAACAATATGTAAAGTAAAAATGAAGTTTTGAAAACATTTATTTGCTAGCTACCCCAATGAACAGTCAGAAATACAACTTATGTGAGGCACATACTTCAAAAAAAATTAAGTAACTCTGACGGGCACAACATGATAAAGGTACGGGTATAGGTTGATGTGTCCAAAGGCAACTGTAAGTGAAAGAGGAACTAATTTAAATTTAATGATATTTTTTCCCTTCTTCTAGATTAGTGAATGAATGATTTAAATGAAATTCCATGGCATGACCCCGTTTTGCATTCCTTGACAACATAATTTCCCAGAGTGTAGTACTTGGGATGGAGACTCTATGCTGAGTAAAAAAATCCTTATATTATACACAAAGAACTTTTAAACAAAACAGTGAAAATCATGCTCACTTTTCCTAATGTGTGGATTAAACTAATCCAACCCTTAGATGCATGGTTTAGTCCATGTGCGAAGGACCCTTTGACACTCAAATATAACGACATAACAAAACATGTGATTTCTAGACTAAGGCACGGCTCACATTGTTAACGGGCTACAACAAAAAGTCCATTATATCCCCATATCAAGTTTGTCTGAAACCCTACACTTCAATACAAAATTTGTTCTTTAAAGCACGAATTTGAACTATGAAATATTAGGGCTTTTAAAGCCCATAAAGATCCATATGTGTTACTAGAAAACATTAATACCATAGCAATATATGTTTTGGGACAAGCATTCCAAAACATGGTAAAGCATTGTTTTACGTTGATCCCGAAGCTTTTCCTATTCATTTCCTTAACAATAAAAAACAAATAAAACAAGCTAAAATTTAGATAGAGTAGAGTTCTGACAAGATAAAAAATGTGCCATAATGCTCTTACACACGTGTTTTATATAATTAACTTGAAAAATAATATAAAGTACGGAACAAAAAGATTCGAACTGCCCAAGGAAAGAACTGGCACAATGAATGAAGAAACTGACAACTCATGTTTTTCGATGAATCATTTCTTCGGATAGAAGAAGATTATGAAACACTCATTCAAAATCTCACTTATAAAGATTAACCTGTGGAACGCACTTCTTTTTTTTCCTGAGGAATTTGCCATAATGCATCTAATATCATAAAAATAAAAAAAATTAATACAAATGTATTTTTTTATTGATGTTCGGAAGGAATTTACTTGTGTTTAGATACTCTCTATACAAATACCGCAATTTTGGGTAAGTAGCGCACCACGTTCCCACTGTACCACAACAAATCGTGTTCCAAGTAAGATAGATTCAAACCTGATGGAATCAAACACATTGGAAAACGCAACTTGGATGGCTGGATTTCCTATTCCAAGAGTTCTCTACCACCAAAAACCTTAAACAGTGAGTTTTGTCATTTTTTATCCCAAAAGTCTAGATTGTTCATAATCAAGCCCATGAGTATTGTCTGAAAATAAATTTTGAACACAAGGATTTAATATTTGACAATTTTGTATATGAATTCATTGACCAATTTTATCAAAACCAGTGATGTTGGGTGTGGTTTTTGCATAAATCCTTTACATCATGATTTCTCTCATCACTGGGCATAAAATTCAACCAAGAACACATTGAGGCCCCATTTGGGAATTGGCTATTTGTTGGCTTTTAACAAAAAGATTTTAATCAATTCTCACTCTAAATGAGTGAATTGAACAACCACCCAAACTAAATCTCATGATTACATGAAACTACGGTTTGTAATTTCAATTGGTAATCTAATCTGAACAAGGCTTGAACCAACTTGTCATAATAGATTGGGGCTACAGAAGTCCTATGATTCCATGTCTAATTATATAATTTAATTTTCACTCAAATATGCAGCAATTTTAACCAAGATTATCAAGAACAATATTATAGGCATTTTGATCATTTTAATGGGTGAGAAATGGAAGATATTTGTGGAGCTAACACGTGACATACAAGAACAGTTAAGTTGGATGGAAAATTTTGCATTTTAGTCAAAAAATCAAATTGGGGTTATATGGTTATATTTGAATGTCAGGGGGTCATCTACACATGACCAAACCACAAGGGGGTAGAATGAATTTTGCCCTACTTTTTAAAAATGCCTATCAAACTAAGGAAGACAATGAAGAACTTGAAATGACACTTGGACCTCAACACAAAACATATAAAGATGTTACCAGGTTATTTACTTGCCACAGTCAGTAATTAAATCCACATAAAAAAACAAAATACATATAAATACGCAGTCATATTTGATTTTTCCACATGCTCAGTTATAGCTCTATCTATTTAAAACCCTCTGGATTCTAGAGCCTCTCTTCAAACTTTTAGTTTACCATTCATCTTACATTTGTTTAAATTTACTAAAGCAAAAACTGCCAAGAACATTGCACAAATATTATATGATAGCTTTATTTGATTTTTCAATCATTTTTTACTATAAACACAAGAAATGCATGACAAATACACTCTATACAGTGAATGCATGAAAATGCATGATAATGCATGCTATTTACAGTGCATGACATATGCATGTTTTTTTTTGAAATGCAAATGATGCATGTTGTTTTTGGTTTTTCCTTTCGAAATGCAAATGATGCATGCTTTTTTTTTTTTTTGAAATGCATGTTGTCTGGAATGCGCGACAACGCAAGTTGCTTGAAATGCAGAAGTTTGCTGATCAGGCTCTGCCCCTAAACATAAGCCTGCGAACAGAACAATTTATTTGAGATGACAAAACTCTACTAACTGAAATTAATTATCAAATGATAAGTTAAAAATCAATCACTAAGAGGAATGCAATGTTGAGCAATAATTTTACAAAAGCATCTAATACACGCCCACATCAAAGTTTGACAAGTTAAAGTAGTCAAGGATGGCAGATTTACAATATCAGAAAAACATATTTGGGGCTTGGCATATGAAACCAAGGCGCCAAGTATGAGCAGACTATCAGGACTGCTGTGAGAATCGTTTATCCTGAAAATATCACTCAACTCGGAACAAACCCGTGGTACATCACTTGGCAATCCGTTGTTTCAGGATTAGTTAATCCCGACCATCCAATCATGTGAAATTTTGTAGTATACATGTTCTGAAAACCACGAAAAAGATGAATAAACAACACAGAAAGCAAATGCATTCATGGGAAAGTATATCCAGTCAAAAGTGACTAGTTCACCAAATTATGAGGCTCCATTGTCTCTCTTCGTCTACAGTTAAGTTTGACCCATACAGTCCCTCATCCTTGTTATTATTGACTAATTGTCATTCAAATAACAATTTTCATATATATCTATATAGAGAAAGAGAGAGAAACAGAGAGCCAACCAAATGAATGTTATCGTATATGGTACATATTTTTGTTTGACCATCTAAAATGTATGTGTTTTATTGTTGGTAGATGTGTGTTTCTGTAAAGCTCCAGATTTTTTTGACTTCCTTTAAGTCAAACAACCTCATTGAATAAGATCAGCTCAGCTTTGGAAGCAAGCTCGGCGTCACGACTGGGCGCTTGTCATCTCCGGAGATAGTTGGCTCCGCGAGTGGTATGCAATACCCTCGTGCAATTAAGCTCAAGATCCAACCTATGTGATGTGATAAAAAAGATTCTACTCTGTCTGCTTTGCTGCTCACACCCACTTTATGTGCTTGCAAGATGCTTGATGTAAAACTCGCGTACTAAATGAGTCAATACGTGACATGCTACCATCCTAATCCCTAATCGCCTCGTCAGGCTTGCCTTCAGGCCTTGTCTGTTCCCCTACCCATGGAGAACCAACCCCACAAACGCCCCGCAGACACCACCTTGGCATCAACCACCAATGAAGGTGCTTAGTGTAAGTCCCACGTACGTTCCAGTTTCAATGCTCCCTAGTTGGCTTTGATGACCACTTCTCATGGACTGACACTTGGTCATCCTCCCGAGGAAGCGCGCCACAAGTGGTACTGTGTACCCCGTGCATTAAGCCCAAGGATCAACCAAGTGATGCGAATAGGGATCTACCCTGTCTGCCTTGCTACTCAACACACTATGTGTTTACAAGGTGCTTGGTGCTAGAACTCACATTAACCAATGAGTCTCGGTCGTACATTTCGGCTCAAACCTGGGCTTATTGTGATACCCTATTTTCAAAGCTAGGTTTTGGACAGACCTTCAACACAACTAAACCACACCCGATTTACACCGTAACATTACATTAATTTCAAAGCAAAAGCCGGTTAAGCTTTGTGCAGCTGTCTCCTGCACAGAAGATTTCCAAAAATAACCCATCCAGGTCAATTTCCACTTGAGCATGTGAAAAAAGTGTAATGCTGATGATTAATTAGAAGGCATTTAAATAGGCAACTGGAGGGTATTCATCTATAGGAAATTAGGCTACCATTACTTTACATGAGCTCTTTTGCAAAGGGATAGGGTCTACAGCTCCCTTTGGTTAACAGTTTGCAGTTCATGCATACAGAAGAACAAATGCAGATTTCTAACAATTTTGGGGGAACAACCAACTGCCACAATATGAGAGAACTTGCACAGGGCAATTGATGGATGCCAAAATGCCAATGTATTGGTACACTCAGCAACCATGTAGAGGAAAATAACTGAACTAGAAAAACAATTGGTGAATGGGGAAAAAACAATCAATCAACTAATCAAAGAGATTAAAATAAGCAGCCACGGAAACAATAGGTATTGAACGATAGATATAGTAGTCTGCCAGTACATTTGTGTCAATAAACTACCTGAAAATACCTGTGCATGAATAAGCTTTGTCAATATTTTTCTGAACCGCAGGCTTAAGGTCCCCGTTATGTTACTTTCGATGTGTAGAATTGCAAGGCTGACTGGAAGGAAACACAGCGAAGAATTTTTCCAAAAATCAGACGGAAAAAAGTTGGCACACGTTCGAAGAAAAAGCAGCACGGAATAGGAATCCTTGCACTTTTGCTAATCTATTGCCTTAAAGCAGTTCGCAACACCTGCAAAAAGGTACAAAAAAGCAAACAATTAAATTAAAGGGCAGCAACCAATCCTTTTCCATGATTCGAAACTCATGTTTTACAGATAATCGTAATCAAATGGAAAGATCCATTTAAGTTTCGATAGTTTCAGCCGGCGCGTAAAAAGACAAAAAAAATTTAAAACCAAACATACAAATCTTCAAAACCCAACAATAGTTTCCTTCCAATTAAAAATAAACAGAAAATTAAAAATGAAAACACTATCCATTGTCATTACATACTGTTTTTTTTTTACCAAAAAGAATGCTTTATGTTTAAAAAAAAACAACAATCTTATCCTTTTCCAATTAATATAAAAAAAAATAAAAAATAAAAAAAATAATTTATGGTAATAACAACTTACCTTATTATGAAAACAAAAGTAAAGATTCTAAAATTATAATTCTTTAGGTTGCCATTTGAACCAATCGCATGATAGTGCACACCATCTTTCCAAAATTAAATTGGCCTAAAAACCTCAAATGCATTACAACTATAGTCTATGATTCCATGTCTGCCTTATTGAGGTCGAGTTTTGACATTATTTGGTCAAGGTGGCACCAATTAAGAATTGTTGTGATCGAAAATTGATAATTACTACTCAATT